CCAAAGTTTTCCAACCCCTGAAATATAGGGTTAGCTTATGAAAGGGTCATACAGTTTTTGCTATTTTTACTTCTCCGTCTTGTGGGGTCGGCTTATACACGAACGGGCTAATGAACGAGTATATACGGTAAACATTGCTCAGTCCCAAGCAATGTCACTGTTACATTTGCATATGATCATGTCAGTCAGTTGTGTAACGAGTAGCTGTTTCTGGAATAATTTTTTGTAATAGTTTTTTCTAATTCATTTTATTCTTTTGGTAGGTGACCTGCTGGATGAAACTCTCACAGAACACAACCAGGTGTCTGCAGTGACCGATGAAGGATCTGAGCTGAGCCAGCACTTATGTGAGAGTGTTTTTGCAAGCCCAGACCTGGCACTTGAGAACGAAGAGATGATCCTGAAAATCTGTCGCCGTTTGCGCACTGCTGTGGAGAAACTTCTAGAGCTGGTTACAGAATCAACTAAACAAGTAAAACTAGATCTCAGCCTTTAGCTACATATTGGCATAAACAATTGGGGTCTAATCCTGTGACATGCTGAGACCCTTGGGCATTAAGGCATTCAGCATTTTGTAGGATTGGGTTCTTGGGGAAGTGCATGAAAAGCTATGTACACAGCTCACATTTCCAATAAGAAATCTGTACACATCTTCCTAGTTGCTGCATTGAAGATTCTGCCCTCATTACCTATGAGAACTGTTCTGGTAATATCTGTTAATATGTGTAGTAGAACCTCAGAGTTACTAACACCAAAGTTATGAACTGACTGGTCAACAGCACACCCCATTTGGAACCGGAAGTATGCAATCAGGCAGCGGAAACAAACAAACAAAAAAAGCAGCACTGTACAGAACAATATTGTGTTAAACATAAACTAAAAAAATAAAGAGAAAGTTTAAAAAAAAAAAAAGATTTGACAGGGTAAGAAAGTTTCTGTGCTTGCTTCATTTAAATTAAGATGCGTTTTTTTTCTGCATAGTAAAGTTCCAAAGCATTAAGTCAGTGTTCAGTTGTAAACCTTTGAAAAATCAACCATTATGTTTTGTTTAGAGTTACGAACAACCTCCATTCCCGAGGTGTTCGTTATTCTGAGGTTCTGCTGTATTTTGGACCTGAATTAGATTACATGCCATCTGTATTTTATGGGGTGCTTGCAATAATGAAACAAGATGTTTGTTGTCATGGCAAGGTTTAAACTGGAACTTTACCCACCAGTTTAATAGATATGTATTCAGCTTCTTTGTTGGAGAGCAGAATTAGAATTTTCAGGTTGCCTATAGTGAAGCAAAGGGCAGAGGAGGGCTTTCAGACCCCTCTGAAGCGATCTTCCTACACAAAACAGTGATGACTGATCC